ACATTTACTTAAAAAATGTTGCCAAAACTCAATTTTGTTAAGCAATAGCAACATTCACGTATTAGAATGTTGCGATAGACCCTTTTAGCAACATTTAACTACCGAATGTTGCCTTTAATGTGTTGCAAATGGTGTTTTTTGGTGTAGTGGGAAGAAGTTTTAAATGGCAGTGCGTGTGACTTTCCAAGTTGACATGATTCACATAAGGCTGAATTTTCATTAACCTTGAAGGATTTATTACATGACTTCATGACTTGACTCAGAACATGGTTTGAAGGGTGGCCTAATCTCCTATGCCACACATTAATTTCAGATTCAGAACACTTGATTGGTTGGACAGACTCATCACACCTGGACTTCACTATGAAGCAGTTGGAATTATTTTGGATTTTTGACTCTGTGAATTTGAGGCTAGATCTTGGTAACTTCAGCTGATATAATCCATCTTTAAGTACTCCCTGCAGCAGAGTCTTCCTGGTTTCCAGATCCTTAACAACACAGAAATTAGAGTAAAACTCCATGAATACATTGTTGTCATTTGTGAGTTGAGAGACACTAATCAAGTTCTTTTTAATTTCAGGCACAAGCAGTAGTTTATTTAGGGTAAGAGACTTGTTATTTAAAGAAGGAATACCTCCTTTTCCAACATGTGATATTTGCAGGGAATTTCCATCACCAATTAGAACTCTTTCTTTACCTTCATATCTTTTAACAATGGACAAATTTCCTTGATCTGATGTGACATGATTGCTTGCACCAGTGTCTGCGAACCAGGCTGCATCTTCAAACATTTGAGGTGAAGCTACAAATGCAGTGGGAGTTGAGTTACTGTTCTGCTGATTCAGATTGTTGGGCCTGCTTCCCCTGAATCTGTCATCATATATATTGAAACACCAACTTGCCGAGTGATTGCTTAAACCACATATCTGACACGGTCCTCTATTTTCATTTGGCCTATTGACTCTACCTCTTCCTCTGTAGTTTCCAGTCCTGCCTCTAAAAAACCTGTTACCTCCAGGGCTTATCCTTTGAGTAAGTTGCACACTTGACTGGCCAACATTAAGTGAAGTCAAATTGCTTCTAACCTGATTCAGGTACTCAAGTCTACTTTCGAAAGTCATCAATACAGATGATAATTCATACCATGATATGTTTTCACGAGACAACTAGACGTGTTGCTATCCTCACATAAGTAGTAGGTCAGGACTGTCTTGTACTCAGTGATCTAGTGACACTAGATCTGGTTTTCCAGCAACTTGAAGGTTGTCAGCAAGCTGTTTAAGGGTAGTGAGATACTGGTCCATAGTCATAGGCCCTTTCCTTGTTCTTTGCAATTCTCCAGTCAGAAATATAATCCTTGATCTGTTAAGGATGCCATAACTTTCTTCCACAGCAGTCCATAGTGTGCTTGAACTGGTGCATCCCATCACTTTCATTGCTATCTCTGGTGTCATGGATGAGTATAACCATCCCATCAACAGCTGATCAGTTGAGACCCTTTTGTTGTATTCTGGATTCAATCCCATTTCCACTGCTTCTCCTCCATTAGTGGTTGTCTGTGTGGCAAGGAATTCTGCTGGGCATTCCTTTGTTCCAAGCAAAAAACCTTCGAGATTGTGGCCTCTGATTATTGGCATAATCATGTTTTTCCACAGCAAGAAGTTGTTCTTGTCAAGTTTGATAGATGGAGTTTGGGTTAGATTCATCCCAAACGGTGAGGCTGCAATTACTCCACTTTGAGTAGATAGTGTAGTGCTTGGAGCTGACTGGTTGCTTGCTTCGGTGTTAGCCATTAGAGCTTTGATACCAAGTTTAAAATCAGATTAATCGAGCAAATTTGCAGCACAATACTTCAGCATTTCATTAAAATTATATATAGAACTAAACCTATACAAAAGGAGATACATACAAGGGAATATTCTGAATAATAAAAATATCCTAATGCAAGGTGGCATAACTGCCTATAGTCCTTTTGTACTGAGAAAACATGTGCACAGATAATGCACTGAGCAACCCATTGGCCAGCTAATTAGTTGGTAGTGCTCATTATTTATCACACTACTCTAACAGGAGCTGTGGCGAAATTTGAATCACTAGCTAATCTCTGCCACATTCTTGCCATGTCCTGCAAACTCCTACGTGCCTAGCGCAACAACTCCTTATACTTGATCTTCTTCATTTCCTGCCTCTTTTTCTTCTCCTCCATTTTCTTCTTCATTTTTATAGATTTCTCCATTATCTCCCTCTCTTCCTTCAATTTTTCCGACTCCTCATTCTTTGTCCATTTAAACTCCTCTCTCACCCTCTTCAACTGCAACGCCTTCTTCGACTGAGCTTTGGCTTAACCAACGAAAACATCGATATTGGAATTTTCGATAAGAACCCAAGATAAGGCCTAGAAATTTCAGGTTTTTTCAGTGGCGGACTATAAGCATTAGCACAAAGTCCATCAACCTTCATTTCACCCCTATTGTTCCCAAAAGTATGGATCACTCTCAATAGAAGGTAAAACAATCCTAACAACATTATTATCCTCCAAGACCTCCAGAACCAACTCCGGCCGCTGATTCCACTTAGCATTCAGCTGCTTTATAACATGCTTAAGCTTATCTTTCCTTTTCAAGTCCAATAATTTACTGTAAGTAAGCCTATGGGATATTGCCGGAACGTCCTTAACCCATGTTTTCAATTCCGCTGGGGTTAGTGTTCCCTGAACGCTTCTTTTCGGACACTTTAACCGACAGTGAAGGCTGGGACAGTGAAGCTGAAATTACTGTTAATGTTACAGAAAGCTTCAAAAATTTAAATTAGGTTTTTCTGAATTTTGATCTTCTTCCTTCGCTTCACATATTATTGTGCACTTCTTAGAAAGATATGAAATTGAGGGTCGGGATATGTGTTGTACAGAAGAATTGAGAATGCAGGCCGTGAAATGAAATTAATTAATTACTTAGAATAACACAATGGCTTACATTTTCAGAAAAATGGCTGCATTGGGCTTCTGAGAACACCACATTCCTAAGAGATTGATTTCTATACATTCCGTTACTGCAAGGCATGTACATTGGTGTGTATCTATCTATGCAAGAATGACTGTATAGGGTGGAGCGGCCAATATGGCTATGCGGTAATAGAGCTAACGGAGGGAGAGACGATGATTCTTGGGTTGTAATCCTTCCATTGAATCTCACGGACATTTGAGTAGCTGTCTGGCAAGAAAAAAGCCCAACGGGCCTTCTTTCATTTTTTTTTGTGACTTAAATAGCACTAAATTGAAAATGTTCAATATTACTTTTAGGGAAAAATTCATAAATGAG